TTATTTATTTGACAGAGACACAGCGAGAGAGGGAACACAAGCAGGGGGAGTGGGAGAGGGAGAAGCAGGCTCCCTGCAGAGCAGGGAGCCCGATGTGGGACTCAATCCCAGGACCCTGGGATCATGACCTGAGCCGAAGGCAGTCGCTCAACCGACTGAGCCACCCAGGCGCCCCGTGACGCCCACTTTTAAAGACAGAACCCTTAACTGCTGCCAAGAATTTTTATAATGCCAGAAAAGATTCCTTCTGACACCATTCTTGGTTCTTTAAGAGAAGCAACCAGTTGTCCAGTTCTTTGTATAAATTGTCCTTGTCCCCCCCGCCTCCCTGGTTAGTAGAGGAGAATGCTCTGAGAGTGCAGGTTGAAACTGGGCATTTGCCCCACTTTAAAAAGAATTATCACAGCGAGTCAGCATGCAGCAAAAGGCATCTGTGTCCTGCCACACTTCAGGCACATTGTGGGTGAAGTTCATTTAAGGGTCTCTTCCGCCAAGACAGCGTTAGCCAGGGAGCAAAATGCATTCTGAGGTCCCCATTGCCAAGTGGACTTTGGAAGCCCAGCCTGTTGTTTGTCCTATTCTGGCAGCTTCCCGCAGGTCGAGAGGGGCCTCAAAGGTTAGTGACGCACCAGAGGGAACGAGGAGGCTAGAGAGCTGAGCCTTCAGAGGAAGAAGGGAGAGCGCACGAAGCCTCCAGCTTACCTCTGTGGCTGCAGCATGTGAGGTGTGGCGTTGGCCTTGGGGGGAAGCAGGCCTTGGGCACTGGCAGGCCCACACCTTTCCTGCAGGTGTCACACACACGGGCACAAACTCAAACCAGTGGTTCTTCGATTTTAGCATGCATTGGAATCATATTTCGAAAACACCAACCGCTGGGCTTGACCCTAGCGCTTCTGATTCTGGAGATTCGGGATGGGCCCTGAGAATGTACATTTTTTAGCAAGCCCCCAGGTGATGCTGGTCCTGTGGCTCCAGGGACCACACTTTGAGATGCACTGACTTAATAGGAAAACAGTTTGATGTCACCTAGCAAGGGGGTTGGAGGTAGGCAGTTCTGCAGGGAGGTAATTTGGTCACTTGCTGACGTCACCAAGTCTTCTCTCTCCTGCCCTGCATGTGTGGGCTCTGTCCTGGTTCCAGGACAGCTTCTTACCTCTCCAGGCATCACAACCAGATCAAATGACACTAAGAGGAAGAAGGTTTGTGGGACTTTCTCTACTTTGTGTTTTAAAACAGTAGCAATAGGGCGCCTGAGTGACTTAGTTGGTTAAGCGTCCTACTCCCGATTTCTGTTCAGGTCATGATCTTGGGGTCCTGGGATTGAGCCCCACGTCGGGCTCTGCGCTTGGCAGGGAGTGCACTTGGGGATTCTCTCCCTCTGCCCCTCCCGCTGTGCTAGTGCATGCGGTCTTTCTCTCTCTCTCTGTCAAATAAATAAATCTTAAAAAAAAAAACAGCAGCAACAGCAACAAAGAAGCTTTGCTTATGCTTGGATTTGGAATGATCAGCGGTTGAGTCATAGCTTCTGGATTATCATGCCTCGGAGTGAAAGCTGCTTAGGAGGAGGCACCTGGGAGGCAGAACTTAAGAGGTTTTCTGAGCTCTGCCATTTCCATGTGGAATTAACTTTGATCCTTCCGTGGACCAGCTGCTTCCTAAATCTGGGATGAAGCCTGGCGTGGCCCTGCCTGCTTCACATCATTTCCTGCAAAGAACTGCAAAAGAGCCCTCCAGACTCTCCTCAGGAGGGTTATGCCCAGGAGAAGGATCCTGTTTGGCTCCCTCCTGTTGATACATTTACCTTGATTTGCCTTTCCCACCCCGTCCTCTCTTGACCTTGGTCCAAGCGAAACCCCGACGAGTGTGTGCTGTGTGATGTGATCGCATAGGGACCCTCGGCTTGATGTGTTCCTCTCCTTTCCACCGTCCAACCCGTCTCCATAATCCCCGCTGAGTCCCGGCCTCTTCCTTTCTGCCTCCAGATCCTGCAGGCCCTCGGGAAGTCCTACCACCCCGGCTGCTTCCGCTGTGTCATCTGCAACGAGTGTTTGGATGGGGTGCCCTTCACCGTGGACTCCGAGAACAAGATCTACTGTGTCCGAGATTACCACAAGTAAGGAGGGATAGGGTGCAGAGGGGCTGCAGGCCCGAGCCACATTGATCTCGCCGAGCAAAGGAGAGACACCCGCTGAGGTGCACCCGCAGGCTCTGCTTGAATCCTGAGTCCACAGTCCGGCAAAGGCTTCGTGGTTTAAAGGGTGTAGCAGGGGCCTCGGAAAGTCAGCTGACTCCAGTGCAGATAGGGACTGGTAACAGAATCATGTTTCCTGGAAAATCAGAACCCAAATCCCTATAATCAGATCGCGGTTAGGCCTCAGGAAGCCTCTGCCAAGCCCAGTGGCTCCAGCTTGACCTGACTTCACAAGGCAGCGACTCAGGGCTGGTCGCCACCACCCTCGGTCTGCCCAGGCCTGTGCTGGGCACCATGAGGGGAGTGAACAGGTTGGTCTCTGTCCCTAGTAGAGTGAGAGGGTCTAGCTAGGCTTGTTACCACTGGGGAATAATCTCGAAGTGCTACTAAAACACCTCCCAGAGAATGAGCCAGACTGTCTTTTTTTAATAAAGATTTTATTTATTTGAGAGAGAGAGAGAGCGCGAACGCAAGCAGGGGGAGCAGGAGAGGGAGAAGCAGATTCCCCACTGAGCAGGGAGCCCGATGCGGGGCTCGATCCCGGGACCCCAAGATCACGACCTGAGCCACAGGCAGATGCTTCACTGACTGAACCACCCAGGGGCCCCTTTGTTGTTGTTTTTGGGGGGCGGCAGGGGCAGTGGGAGAGGGAGAGAGAGAATCTTAAGCAGGCTCCATGCCCAGCGACGTGGGGCTCGATCTCACGACCCTGAGATCATGAGCTGAGCCGAAATCAAGAGTCAGACGCTTAACCGACTGAGCCACCCAGGGGCCCCTTTATTGTTGTTTTTGGGGAGCGGCAGTGGGAGAGGGAGAGAGAAAATCTTACGCAGGCTCCATGCCCAGCGACGTGGGGCTCGATCTCACGACCCTGAGATCATGAGCTGAGCCGAAATCAAGAGTCGGACACTTAACCAACTGAGCCACCCAGGGGCCCCCAGAAAATGTTCCTGAGGTTCATCCATGTTGTTGCCTGTGTCAACAGTTCATTTATTTTCATTGCGAAGTAGAATTCCATTGTATGGATATAGCAGCTTGTGTATCTGTTGCTCTGCTGATGGGGTTTTGGGTGGTTTCCAGTTTGAGGCTATTTAGGAATAAAGCTGCTGTGAAGCCTGCCCTGTTCATGAGGAGAACCTGCTGTTGCCCAGGCTCGGACACACCACAGCGGAGCTTAGCCCTGAGAGGGCCGGGTCCTCGCTGTAGCCAAGACCTCCCTGGGAGCACGGCCCTCCCTCCATTCCCACAGGGGAGGCCGGCAGGAGCCACACACACCCTCACCCCTACCTTCCACAGACGCCAGCCAGACTCCACAGGCATCCAATTCTTGGGCGGAATTGGTCCTCAATTTTAGAGTCCTTCTGGCAAACCCACTGCATATGAGGTCAACGGTGTCCAAATATATGAGCATGGTTATACACTATTTTTTATTTCCAGGTATCCTAAGCCTTCTTAGGGCCTCGTGATTCATAGAACTCCACTAGTCAGGGCTCAGCGGGATGGTTCTTCTGCTCCATGTGGCATTGCCTGGGGTCACTTACACACTGGTGCTCAGCTGGTGTCCCAGTTGAGTGCCCAAGATGGCCTCTCCCCTGTGGCCGCTGATCTCATTCAGTCGTCTAGCTTGGACTTCCTACAGCAAAGGAGGGAGGGAAGCTGCCAGGCTTCTTAAGTCCTTGACTCCGAAATCTCTCCACATCATTTCTTCCTCGTTCTGTTGCTCACAGAACATCACAAGGCCGCTCTCAATACACGGCGGGGTGGTGAGGGGGGGTACTCTCCTCCACTTCTTGAAGTGAGGACCAGCCTTGCATGCAGGAAGGGAAGGAATGAAGCTTTGAAGACCATCTCTACCCCACGAGAATAATGCCAAGTTGAACCGGGGTCCTTGCAGGTCTTCTCTAGGACTTGAAAACTTTTAGCAATGTCTGTCTGGTAGTGACACCCACTTTTAAAAAAATTTTTTTTTTTTTTAAGATTTTATTTATTTGCGAGAGAGAGAATGAGAGACAGAGAGCATGAGAGGGAGGAGGGTCAGAGGGAGAAGCAGACTCCCTGCCGAGCAGGGAGCCCGATG